TGGTGTCGCGGGGTCTAACGGGCAGAAAGGGTCCGGCGCATCCTCTGGCATGGTGGCAGTGGATGTGGATTCCTTATGTGCACTGTTTACCGTCTTGCTGACAGATTTTTCTCTTTTGTCCGTCGGTGTGGCGGGTGACGTGGCGGCCATTGCGGCAGACTTGAAGTCGAAGGCGTTGCCCGGGGTTTTGGGAGTCTTGGCTGAAGAGCCAAAAGACGCAAAGGCGCCAGAACCAAGGCCAAACGCGGTTGAGCCGCCTGTTGTTGGTGATGCCAGGCCACCGGGAGTCAAGGGCGGGATAGCATTGAAGGGGTTTCGGCCACCGTGCGACGAGTCGCCGGCGAATCGCTTCGTTGACGAGAAGGAGCGCTGGTGGGGTTCGGATTTGTCCGAAGCGTTGTCTGAATGCGACATGGACAAGGAGAGTTTACTGGTGCTGGTGTCAAGTCGTCAGTGTGGGAAGCGGGTGGGTGTGGGGGGTGACAAAGGGGCAGCGTACTTGGAGCGGCGGGTCCAGAGGTTCTCTGTTTTGTCCATTTGTAGCAAGGGCAGAGGGATGAATGGGCCGGCAAACCTCGTGGGTGCCGTGTTTGTTGTCCTGGAGCAGGGCGGGATCCACGAGCGGGATGAGCAAGAAGCAACAAGCAACAAGCCACAAGCCACAAGCAACAAGCAACAAGCAACAGAGAGCAACACAGCAACAGAGCAAGGCGCGTAAGAAAGAAGGAGCTAGCGGGGCAACGTCGACAAGACTGCTGGGTGTGCAGGCAGCGGGGGAGGGGCTGGTGGGTTGCCGGGGGTGTCACTGGTGGAGAGAGGAGGTGGAGAGACTGTACTTTGGATTGTTGTGGGCGGGGGGTTGGAAGAGATGCGGCGCAGTGCAGTACCTCCCTCGTATGTGAGGGTGGTTATGGCGAAGATATGGCGATATGGCGATATGGCGATATGGCGATTGGGCGATTGGGCGATTGAAAGCGGTTCCAAGGGCACGGCAAGTCCTGTTGTGTGGTGGAGATTGAGTATGTCGAGTGGGTGTAGGTGTGTGTGTGAGAGAGAGAGAGAGAGAGGAAAAGAGAGGGAAAAAGAGAGAGAGAGTGTGTGTGTGTGTTTGTGTGTGCAGGTATGTGTGCAACTATGTGTGCAGGCAGGTATGTGTGTGTGTGTGTGTGTGTGTGTGTGCAATCACTTCATCACGGACAGTTTTGCATGCTTCCGAGCGAACGGCGGGCAAGCTCAGACCCCAAGCCCGCCCAGCTCCCTTCTCTTACAATCATTGGAATCGTTGGAATCAATAGCGAAATAGGTATAGCGTGGACTCGCGTGCGAGCCGTTACCCTATCAGGGCTGGCGTGATTAGGCCCAAACGGTACAAGCGCCCGGGCCCGTTAGCTTTCTCTTCCCTTTTTCCCTGCTCCCTTCCCTTTTTCTTCTCTTTCCTTCTTCCACACCGGCCTCAGACAATCACATAATTTGCCAGCTTTGATCTGCTTCCATTCAGCTGGCAACTCCGATAGCTGGCCCAGAAGGAGCCTTACCCTCTTATAAAACCATCATCACGAGGGCCGCCCTTGCGGCTTCCATGATGCGGTGATGACCTAAAAGCAGGGACATTGGTACATGTACAACAGGCAGCCTTGTCACGCGCATGTGCCCGAGGTATGCGACATGGATGCGACTGAAGAAGGCCCTGGCGCGCAAGATGATGGGGCATCACCAAAGGCCGCCCACGTCCTGCTCTCCTGTCTGTTGGCTGTATCTACGTAGGTACGTGTGCCCTCTCTGCAGGTGCAATGGCGTCGCTAGGGATGACTAGGTCCACTGGACCACCACTTCTGGTAGTCTGAGTCTCAGCCAGGATCTACACTATCGCAACAAGGCGATTTCTAGGTTGAGCGTGAAGCGCAAAGGCAAAGTCTGAAGCGTCTTGGAGTGACTGCACCGAGGAGGGGGGAGAGGAGAAGTTGTCCATCTGCCATGTGCACTGCTAACTCGCATGTGATAAACAGGTGCATAGAGGAAGCAAAGTCATCTTTTGCTGTTGGCGGCGCATGTGTTGGAATTTCTGTCAAGGAGGCCCTGTACACTTTTCATTTGATTCTTAGCCATGATGGGTGAGATGGGCATGGAAAGAAAGGAAGGGAAGGAGGGAGAGAGGGACACAGCGTGCATGTTGGTAGTGTACCGGTCTATCAATTTGTATGGATACGATATACCTATTTCGCCTTTCACCCACGATCTGATGGATCGGCCAGACTTGAACTCGAGTCGCATGACACCCAAAATGGAGCGTAGTAGAATCACTGATCACATAGGTATTGCAGGACGTTGCATGTGGGCTGATGCTGGCTCCCCTCCTTGCCTGCAAGTCAATCCGTCGCCGTCCGCCGCCGTGGTGGTTGTCCCCTGTGAAGCGAACTGGGAACGCGTTGGCGACAAGGTGAGGCGGGCGGCGTCGAGCGGGAGGAGGAGGAGGAGGAGGAGGAGGAGGAAGAGGAGGAGGAAGAGGGCTGATGAATTTGTTACGTCATGCCGCAACCCCACCCAAGCCAACCTGTTCCCAGAAGCTTGGGTCGCGCTTCCCTCGGCAACAATGCACCACCAGTCAATCAGTCAATCAGTCAGTCAGTCAATCAATCAATCTATCTATCAAATCTACCCGTCAGTTCTCTGTCAACCAGTCCCACCACTGCGTCGCTTTCTCTGCTTGAGTACAAAGCAACTTTACAAAACACATCTCTTTGCTCACGCACTCGACCACGACTTCATCACGCCAGAGCTACACAGCAGCAGGCCTCCCAGCTCCCCCCTCCCTTTCTTCCTTTGTACAAGTAGCACAGCAACCATGACCGGGCAATCAGCCGACATGCATTCTCCAGGCTCGCACCCAGAGCGCCCCAAAGGTAGGGTGGGCACCCAGTCAGAGAGGCTTGCATCTTGTTGTACACAACAACTAATGTCGTGCACCCCAGGTATCCTCAAGAACTCCAACTCCTATCGCTCGCAACCGCAGACATCGCCCACGAGCGAAATCCCCCCGGCCGTCAGCCCCATGGGCGAGCGGCCCCATCTTGGTCGCGAGATGTCGGAGAAGGAGATTGTGCTGGAGAACACGATTCGCAACGCAGGCGCCCACCGCCGCTCCTCGTCAAATCCTCGCGGCCCTGGCTCCCGCCGACAGTCGGGAGCCGAGCACATGGACGAAAATAGCCCGCAGCTCAAGTGGGATGAAGCCAATCTCTACCTCAACGAGCAGAACCGCGACAGCACCATGAAGATTGATGAGCCCAAGACGCCCTACGCCAAGCAGTACGACCCCGCCGAGGACGAGCAAGAGGTGGAGATGCTGAATGCGCAGGAGCTCAATGTGGACGAGCTAGACCACAAGCCACGGCGCAAGCCCAAGATGGAGGAAATCCCTGATTTCGACCTGGGCCAGCCGCAGATGCAGGCACGGGAAGCGCAAACTCCTGAGAGCGAGAAGCGCGTCATAGTGGAGCAGGACATGGACACCGACGCAGGCTACCACGGAGAGCTCCTCCCGAATGCAACCCAAGAGGAGCGGGAGAAGCACCGCAAGTTTGAGGAGTTGCGCAAGAAGCACTATGAGATGAGGAACGTCAAGGACCTACTTGGGTGAGTCCTCATTAGTGCCCACGACGGCGCGGCTCGAGTGCTAACCTATGCGCAGACACCCGGAGGACGCGGATGAGGACGAAGAGACGATGCCAGTGCAAAGAACCAATGGGCAATAGTCGCAGCCACAGCAGGCGTTTCACGCAGCGCTGCTCACTGGAAGTGGACCGATGCTTGGGATGGAAAATATGGCTATTGCAATGGACGTGGGGTGGGGCTTTTTTTTTTCGGGGGCGGCCATTCCGGTGGAGTTTGCGGTTGCTGACTTGCCATCTGCAGAGAGTGTAGAAAGGACTGTGTAGTGACGAGAGACGATGTGTTTGATCATGGTGTTTTATTGGGAAGCAGGAAATAAGATGATGACGCTGTTTCTCGCCTTGTACCATGACCCAAGTTCACAAGCACAAGGAGAGGCGATGCGACTGCTTACTGGTGGGCCGATGATATATGATTTACGCCCCGAGTCTCTGGTAGGTAAGCAGGAAGACAGAGTTGGCTTGGCCGTAAAGCTTCCCGCATCCAGACAACTCTAGCCTCACGCCTAGCCAAATACAAAGTTCCTAGGCGTGGAGACGGGCATGAGTATGTACCGAGTATCTAGTCCCTAGTATCTAGGGGGTGCGTACTCTAGTTGGACAGTTTACTCGCGCGCGCGTGAGTGGCGGAAGCTGTGTGTGGAGCAAGTGGCCAGCAACGTCGACAACACCATCAACAAGGGAGACTCCCGCCTCACTTCTGTCCAGCACCTCCAACAACTCCAGCACCTCCAACAACTCCAGCACCTCCAACAACTCCAGCACCTCCAGCAACCCAGCAACCCAGCAACCCTAGTGTTTCTCCACAGTCCAACCCTCATTCCTCGCCTAGCCGTTTCACCCACGTCAATCACGATACAGGATAGCTGCAACCTCGCCTCGGACACGCAAGCATGACCAAAAACCACCCGAGCCTGCGCAAAGCAGCGTCCAACGCCGACTTGTATTCCGACCCGCCCTCGCCGCCACGGCCTCTCCGTCACGCAGCCTCGACGCTCTCCCGCGCCCACACGACAGCCGCTTCCTGTGACCGACCAAGAGGCCCCAGGGTGGCCGGTCCATCTTGGATCGCCCGAGACGCGCTGCCCGACTTCCAGAGCCGACACAGCGTTGCGTTGCCTACTGCCCGCCTCATTGATGTCGACGAAGACAGCCCGGTGTCTGCACCAGCACAGAAGCCGCCCCCTGTACCGCCCAAGATCCCCGAGGCCCCCGTTCAGTCCATGCCACAGCCAGCCGCGAGAGAGACGGTGCGGTCCGCGCCTTCGCACCCATGGATTCCCATGCCTCAGCGCCCCAAAGAAGGACCCGAGCGCTACACGAAGCCTTTTACCGACTTCATGACGGCAAATCCCACCGTTTTCCACGCTGTCGATGCGGTAGCCAAGGATCTGGACAAGCACGGCTACGAGAGGTTGTCTGAGCGTGACGGCTGGACGCTAAAGGCCGGTGGCAAATACTACCTGGACCGCAATGGCACTTCACTCATCGCTTTCGCTATTGGCGACCGGTACACATCTGGAAACGGTGCCGCAGTAGTTGCGGGCCATATCGATGCCCTCACTACCAAGTTGAAGCCCATCTCAAAGTTGCGGACAAAGGCAGGCTATGTTCAGCTAGGTGTTGCACCGTACGCAGGCGCCCTGTCTGACACTTGGTGGGATCGTGACCTGGGAATAGGCGGGAGGGTCCTGATCAAAGAGAATGGGAAGATCGTGTCCAAGTTGGTCAAACTTGACTGGCCGATTGCTAAAGTCCCCACGCTGGCGCCTCATTTCGGCGCTGCCGCCAATGGCCCCTTCAACAAGGAGACCCAGATGGTGCCCATTATCGGTCTCGACAACTCTGATTTGGAAGGATTGTCGCCTGATAATGACCCAGCCTACAAAGCCAGTGTACTAGGCGGAGAGGGCACCTTTGTTGCCACGCAGCCCGAGAGACTTGTCAAGGCTATTGCTAAGCAACTTGATATCACAAACTGCATGTTCCACTTGGAAACTTGTCGATTTGCATGTCTGCTAACCGCTCCCAGACTCCTCAATCGTGAATTGGGAACTCGAACTCTTCGACGTCCAACACGCAACAACCGGCGGCCTAGACCGCGATCTCATCTTCGCCGGCCGCATCGACGACAAACTCTGCTCCTGGGCTGCAGTGCAAGCTCTCCTCAACTCTACCTCTTCCCTCTTGAGCTCTTCCCAGATTCGTATTGTCGCACTCTTTGACGACGAAGAGGTCGGGTCACTGCTTCGCCAAGGCGCTCATGCCAACTTCCTGCCCAGTGTCATGGAACGTATCGTCGAAGAATTTGCAGATGGTGGAAAGGTCAAAGGGGCACTCAGTCGTACCTACGCAAACTCTTTCCTCGTTTCTAGCGATGTCATTCACGCTGTGAACCCAAACTTTCTTAACGCATATCTCGAAAACCACTCGCCGCGTCTCAACGTTGGCCCCGCCATCTCTGCCGACCCAAACGCGCACATGACTACTGATGCTGTGTCCACCACCATCCTTCAGCGGTGCATCGACCGTGACGTCGGCGTCCGTACAGTCGACCCCCAACTCCAGGTGTTCCAAATCCGCAATGACAGTCGCAGTGGCGGCACAGTAGGTCCCATGCTTTCCGCGGCAACGGGAATGAGGGCTGTAGACTGCGGTATCCCGCAGTTGAGCATGCACTCCATTCGTGCTACGACGGGTAGTCTGGACCCGGGTCTCGGCGTTTTCACGTTTCAGAGCTTTTTAGAAAACTTTGAAAGTGTGGATCGCGAGTTCAGGGAATAGGACGCTAGTAGGGGAGAGAGTCTCATGTCTGGGTTGTTGCTGTTGTGTAGTAGTAGTGGTAGTGGGTTTAGGGGATGAATGGACTTTTGGCATATTTACCATCTATCCTCTGCTCACTATGGTGTGGGCATTATAGAGACTTTAGCTTGGAAATTCACCTGGAACAATTGACCATTTGCTGGTACGTAGGATCGATTTGACCACTAGGCATGGAGATGATCGCATCACATTTATCATGGCATCAGCTCGCTTGTCGCGTACCATGATAAGAGACTGAATGCTCTGTTTCTATTGTCTCCAATACTATGCTTACAAAAAGATATGAACCTACCCCATCCGCAATGCACTCCACACTCGCCAAGTTCAGCCAATCCCATCTCCACCCCACCACATGTCCCCTTTACGTCCCTTTCCAATGAACAGCTGGATCTTACATCAAACCCTTCAAGCATCAGCGTAGCTTTCCTCCGCACCCCTCAACGCCCCCAACGCTCTCTGCAATTCCTGTTCCGCGACCATGACCGTCCCCGCCCTAGCCGTACTCAGATAACTCATTTCCACGGGATCCATCAATTTCTTCGTCGTACCCCCAACCAACCTCCCTGCCACTCCACACACAATTCCCGTACTTTCCATTGGCAAGTTCCTTAAATCTAGCGCAATTGGCGTCAGAAACTCGTCTTTTGAGCCTAATAGCGTGTCCTGTGCAAAATTTTCGAGAAGCACATGGTCAATGAGGAGGGATGCGGGCTCATTGTCTGTCAGCGTAAGGGAGAGGAATCGGGGATGGGGTTGCGTGATGAGACATTTGACGAGACCGAGGTGCAGGGCATCTTCACTGCTGGTGGGTGGCATGCTGGACCGATTTCGGGATTCACCGAGGCCATTGGATGTATTCCTGTTATGGCTTGCGCATTGCACGAGCCGGAGATGCGAGTCTACGCTTGGAACTATGTTACAGCGTTTCAAAGTGGCAAAGGTGCGAGTCTGTAGTTCAGAGATGGTGGCCGGAGGTGGTGTATTGGGAAGGGGGATATCGAGCGAGGGAGTGGAGCCCTTACGGCCGTGGTTGTAGGAATTGACGTACGAAGAGGTATCAATTTCAAATTGAAAACCACGCTCTTCAAGGGCTTTGATGACGTGCGATTGGTTGCGCGACGGCACGAGTATGTAATCCGAAAAATAAGTAGTGATGAAGAAGATGGGACTGCAGGCTTGTCAGTAACAAGTAATCTAGGAATCGTTGTTTGTACAGTGTTCCTACATCCCGGCGAGCGCAAGAGGGCTTGTCAGCTCTAGCACCCGCTGCCCTGCATCTAAGCCCTCACCATCAACTTGCATGACCACAAAGTCTTCGGTGGTGATGTGGACGCTATTCCTAGACTCAGCGTCCAAGGATTGAACAACAGGAACAAAAAACTCGTTTGCAAGCGTCCTGGAACACACTACCGAGCATTCCACGGGCGTGACCGAGATGTTGACAAACGCGTGTTCATAAGGCGAACTCTTTGGAGGTTGAACAGCCCCCGAGTCAATCTGGACATCTCCACCAGTAGCTCCAGGTAATAGAAGTTGGAGAACAGATTGCAGAAAGTTTCGATACAGACTTAGCGGTATATGTATGAGAGCAAGTTGCATATCCTTCAAGGCAGGCGTACATGTTAGCAGAGGTTCGCAGTTCGCAACGAAAGAAGTAAGCGTCAGACAAAGAGAAATGCATGTGATCCTGTGGCTATACCGCGAATACTTGATGACACCACGTTTAAATCTGCCGGCAATGTGAAATACGTGATAACTCGATACGCCATACAGGATGATGTACAGCAGAGGGAAAATTACGTACCAAAAACTGGATGTTTGCAGTCAGCAAAGTCATGGAGGACTCCATCTAGTCCCCTCACGATGACGATGAGAGGAGTGTTGGACGATGGCCGGCGATCACGTGGTGGCGACCGATGGCTGTAGGAGTGGTTACGATTCGGTCAATATGGTCGCGCCGAGGCTTGTTGCTGAGCTATCTGCAATTTCCAAGGATGTTATGAAAGCAAGTGTGAGTATGCTTTGATGCCAGAGGTGAGTGGTGTTCAACGCAGTGCAACGGCTATCGGTTTATATGTTCTTGTCCAACGGGCCAGTGTGAGATGTCGTTCTTGAAGCCGAAATTCATTCCAATTGCCTATACGAAATCCAGCGTCGAATGAAGAGGAGGAAGCGCCCGATCAGAGAGAGCGTCGGAGTGACTACAATCGGGGCAAGGAAGGCAGCTGCCTGTGTAATAAGGGAAAAGAGGATCACAAAGATGGGAGCGGACGATCTGGCAATCGGCTTATGTAGGTATGCGCGGCGGTTCTCTTGTTGTGATTGCCGTAGGTCTGGGATGGTAGTGAAGCTGCCGCGTGGGGTTCTACACGGGATGGGCGTAGCTTGACAAAGGACGACGGAAATGCGCGTAGCGCGGTCAACTTGTGTCGTTGTTGAGCGAGGACGGTAAGGTATAATCCGCAACGGGTGCTTCGTTTTGGGAGCTAGATGTTTCGATGTGCCAGCGCCTTGATCGAAGCATTTGATGGACGTGTTTGGAGTTTGGCGATGCTTTACCCATGTGCCCTCAAATCAACGTGGCCGTGGGTGGAGCTCGATGACTCGAAGCCGAGAATTTTCCAACCACGGCGCCCATTGTGCTGGAACGCTTGAACAAAGGCCGATGGCGTGGGCGGCCCGTCATCTGCACATGCAAACCCCATTGAATGGCTTCGGGTAGTTGGGCGAGGTCGAAGAGGTGGAGAGCAGCTACTATGGTGATGAGCAGGCAGGCTGTGGCCATGCAAGGCCGTTCTTCAAGCCAAAGCTCTCTCCCTACCGGTGCCGGTACCTAGAGTAACCAGGTACTTGCACAGTACATCTTCCGTACCAACCGCTGTCCACGAGCCCCACGCGTGAATCTTTGTCCATGCAAGCCAATCTATTGCAGCCACCGAGCTTCAACGAATGTTGTATGCCTCCATGGCAAATGAAGCCCAGATCAAGAGTGTGGTACGAGTCAACATCCAGAGTGACTGGAATATGAGTGTCGTCGTCTGCATGGTTGCGTGCATGAGCGGCCAAGGTTACACGACCTCATCCTACCCTCGAGTTGACCATCTCCCGTAGAGTCACTTGATCGCACGCGTTTACCATGGTACCCACGCACGCTAGACATCCACAGACGTTGTCGCTGGCAGTTGTTGGCCAGCATGTTCCGTCCGACTTGCACGATTCACGTCGACGACGGTGGGTCATGACGGCCGGGAAACCATGTACAAGCACATCTTTGCGTCTTCTCCTTGGCGCTTTCACCAATCCCCACCCCCGACCAAGTTGTTCGGGTCTTCCAGATCGGTCTCATGCCAGGAATCCCTACGCCGTCATGCATGCAGGACCATTCCATTCCAGGGCCTTGCCGTGCAGCGTGGGGTTCTTCCATTGTGTGGGATCCATCCAAACAGGTATCCCGCTGGTCTTACCCCTCGCCAGCACATCAGCCTGCTAAGTCCTACTGCGCCTCGTCTGCTTCTTGCCGCGCCTTCAGCAGGTGCTGGACAAGCTTCCACTATGCAACGAGCACGACCTTATCCGTTCAATGTGATCACAGCTAGTCTGCGTGTGACTATGACGTACGTTACAATGTCAAGTCTGCTGGCGAGCCCTTGGTCTAGTCCCCAATATATCTTGAGAGAGAGGTGCGACTCCAATGGCCATGGAAAATCACCTTTACGCCATAGGAGCGCGTCCAGATCATGTAGGTGGCCATCAGTAGGATTCCATAGTGACGAGAGTGAAGGGACGTGACGACATCAATAAGAGTGGCCCATGGATAAGTAAACACGTTGAAATTGCAATCGGCGCATGATATCTTGCAGTACTGATCCGACAGCCTTGATACGCCCTATAACGCCGTGCCCGCCAATGCCATCGACTTTCCACCCTGCATCTGTCACTTCCCCTATGACCGCTCAGCAACTTTGTTCTCTGTGAACGGTCAGCCCTCATCCAGAAGCGACTGCCCTATATCTGCCCACGCTTCATGCTACTCGCATGAGGAAGACATGGGCCAACCTACTCTGCTGTGTCAAAAGAAGTCCATAACGCTTCTTGATGGTAACACGATGTCTCGAGTACTTGTCGTCGGGCGAAAAACGCGCCGGATGTGCGCTCTTGCTGACCTCGCCGTCGATGATCTTTTTGAGCGTGTAGATACGCTTGGTCGGGTTCGCTGGGTCGGGGATGTACATGAGATGCATGCTGTGTGTCCAAACAAGTTAGCCGTGAAATAGCAACAGCAGCAATAGTAGTAGCGACAGGAAGACCGAGACAAGGATGAAAGGCAATGCGTACGTGATTGTGAAGATGTGTGCGCGCGCGTTGACAATGTCGAAAGACCAAGGTGAAGAGGCCGGTGCTGTTGTTGCCTTATCAGTCGGCAAAAAAGTTGAAAGAGGCCTGGAGCTTTGGAAATTGGAGGCGCGGAGTTTTTTTTGCGGACCACCGAGCAGACGCCAAGACCAAGCCATTGTTTGCACTGTTTGCAACGTGCTGGTAAACACCACATCATCCACATCATCCACCAACCCAACTATACCCAGACAGACACTCACCTCTCCCAATTCACGACATCATGGCTCGCCCTTATATGATCTTCGCGGTCCTTACGGCCTGGTTTTTCGGCTGCAACGCCCAGTTCGGCTTCTTCGACCAAATGTTTGGCGGCGGCGGAGGGGGTGGACAACAGCAACAGCAGCCACAAAATGTGCGGAGCGATAGCGTGTGGTATCAGCAACAATACGAAGCCGGTAAGTTAGTCTGGGGAGGAGAAGCTATTTCCTATTCGCCTCTTAACTCTGCTCTCTCACCTCGGTTTCTAAACACTAAGGCATCGCAGCCCAGTGCTCACACTATCTCTGCCCTGGCACCCTGTCCTGCGTACACTTTCCACATCATTGTCCGTGCGCTTGGGAGGGCGTGGAAGAAAAGATCGAGTTAGGAGAGGGCATCGCAATTTGTGCGTCCAAGGGTGGATGGGCAGAGGGCGAGTTTGCTAAGAAGGTGGAATTAGCAAGGAAGGGAATGCTGTAAATGGCCACTCTATAATGAACCTAAGGAGCCACCGGGCTGTTTGGTTGCAAACATGAGCGGCAGCCTGGTGGTAGAGACGACTGAACCCTTGACAAGCGAATGGCGACGACACCATCAGTCTAAGATGGCAATTACAAACATGGTGAATAAACAGCATCATCGTTTTATGGCTGATCAAAGTCGTGCCTTCGTCATTCGTGGAAAGAGACACCGCGACACCGCAATCCCAGCTATATGCTCTCGAAGCCCAATTTGAGTAATGGAGAACACTGCTACCGCTGAATATACTTGTACGCATACCCCTGTTTCTCACCATGACTCTCGTCTGCAATCCCTACTTCTTCTCGGCCCCATTGACGTAAGAGGACCTTGCCCAAAAGCTCCTTCTCATCATGTACTTTGCCTACCCTCTCAACCCACTGACCATCTCGTTTACCAACCACCAGCCTCGCCCGCTCTTTCATGACCTTGCTGACAACCACTGCGAGTTTCTCGTCCATCGCTTTGTTAATCGCTTCAAAGTCTGCTCGCTGTTCTGTAATCCGCAATTCCAGTAGAGAGTTTCGTGACTGCAGAGTGCCTATCTGGGCATGCAGCTCTGTGATGGTGGCTTGCTGTTCCAAGGACATATCCATGTTTTGCTTGAGCTTCTTATTCTCCTTCTTGAGCGCGGCCATCTCAGACTTCATCGTTTTCACATCGACAATTTGGCGCCGTATAATTTGGCGCAAATCCTGCACCTCGGTCTCTGTTGCCTGGGTCCTAGAACTATGCGAGCTTTTGTCGTTGTCTTCGCTAGAACTGTCCTCTTCAGCCAATCTCTGTGCCCCATCAGTGCGTAGTTGGTTCATTTCTTCTCGCACATTCTTCAGGTCTTTCAGAAGACGGCGTTTGTCACTACGCTCCTGTTCGAGCACAACACCAGCCTTGCGAACAGCATCTTCGGTCCTTTCACGAAGGTCTTTTACCATAGCTTCGTGTCCTTCGATGAGATCATCGTGCTGAGCTTGCAAGCTCTTGTATTTTGTCTCCACATCAAGTTTGGCTTCTTTCACATTGCCAAGTCTCTTCTCCGCATCTGCAACACGACGATTTGCATCAGCCTGCGCTTCTCTCAGGCTATCTTCTGCAATCTCTAGCTCGTGCTGGTACCGCTCAACCTCCGTTCTGGCTCGAGCGCTCTCGCGGTGGCATTCAGCAAGTTGTTGGCGCAAAACCGCATAATTAGCCTCTAGTCCTTCTATGCGACCTTTCGATATATTGTTTTGTCGGTCAGCTTGCTCTTGCGCCTCCACGTAAGACGCAATCTGCTGTTCTTTCTTGGCCATATCAGCGCGGAGAGCATTCAGCTGCGATTCGGAAGATATGATGCGCTGTTCTAGATTTTCGTTGTTCGATATCTCCTGATGACCTGTGGCTTGAGTCATACGTGATGTCTCAATGTGAGAATGGAGAGCACGGAGGCGTGCGTTCAGGTCAATATTCACGTTGAACAGTTGCTGCTTCGCGGCCACATCAGCTTGGGCGCATTCGATCTCGAACCGGGCGGCCTGAAGATTGTGCTCAAGACTTATCACACGACCCATGAGGGCTTTGGAGCTCTCTTCCGCGGCGATGCGTCGGGCGGTTTCTTGTTGTGCTTCCTCACGAGCCGCTCTGGCTTCGGCCAAAGCTCCTTCGAAGTCGCATTGTAACTGCTCTGCCCGGGCCTGTACTGCAGACAACTGCTCCAACGTTTGCAGCTCCTTTTTATTTGTTGTGGCCTTTTCTTCAAAGCCAAGCCCACCGCATGTCCGGCAAGACGATTCTGGAACATCTTCAATTTGCGCATTATTGGACAGCTTTAGTTGTGCCAATTCTTTCTGCATGTCTCTCATCATCTGCTCGTTCGCAAATAGCTTCTGCTCAGTCAAGTGCTTTACACTGCATAGCTTGGCTAATTCACGATCGAAGTCTTCCTTTTGAGTGTTTAATTTGGCTTGTGTCTGCAGACGCAAGTCTGCGACAAACGCATCTTCCCGCGACTGCTTCTGAAAATCTGTCAAGGCATGTGCCGCCTGCTGTTCGGTCGCGCTCTCGCGTGAGGTTCTTTTCAAGGATGCCAGAGCATCCTTGTGATGGTAATTGTCTGTCCTTGCTCCCTCTAACTCGGTGCGTGTGTAGGATAGAATAGTTTCAAGTTCTGTGATGCGCGTCCTGGAAGCTTGCTCCTGATGCAGCAGTTGAGACTGCAACTCAGCAATCTGACATCGTACTGCATCCTGCTCGCGCTTTTCCGATATGGCTGAAGTATGGCGTATGACTGTCTCTTGGGTTGGCTTTCGTGGTGTGTCACAGTCTTCCACCGTGGCTTGTAAGGAACGAGCTTTCGGCGGCGAGGATTGGGGGACTTGGAGGAAACTGTGTCTTGGGGCATGGAGCGGTGTGCCTGTCAATGCCCCCTCCATATCCGTGTTCGGTAGCGCACTGAGAAAGCTGCGAACCTTTTCGTCATTCGCCATCGAGCCTTCGGAAGGAACCCTGTGATGGTCACGCTCGTCTGTGGTGATGATGGCCGGTCGCCTCCCATCAGCGTCCTCCATCACGTCCTTCTCCTGCATGGCATCCATCCTCGGGCCGCTTCGCCGTGCGACCTCTTTCCGCGACTTTATCTGCGCCAATGGCAGATCTGTTGTCATCCAGTAGGTCATGTTCATAGTGAAGTCTTCGGGTCCCTCGATATCGCTGGTGTCGACACGGTCCACAGGTGGCTCATGGCCACCATCTAACTCTGTAGTCTCAAAGGTCGAATTCAGGCCTAGTGCGTCCAGGTCCATTTCATATTGCGACCCATCCTGCGACAGGTTGTGCGCGGGGCTGTGTTGCGGCGAACGGAACCGAGCTGGGCTTGCCGTGTGCGAAGAATGGGTGCGTACCATGACTGCTTAATAGCTTGCGTGCGTACTTGTGAGCAGTGCAGCGGAGTGCGGTGTGAGTGTGATAAGAATGATGATAGGCGGTGCGTGCCGTATTCAAGCCTCACAAGAGTGTTTGTTGTTGACGCGCGTGGGTGGACGCGACGGGCTCCTTTAGCGCGTTGTTGGGGTGTTAGTTTAGGTGCCTCCGCGTAGCTAGGTAGTTTCTAAATATAGGAATCCTTAATAACTAAGTATTACTAAGATAATTATTAACCAAATTGTATTATATATAGGTTATATAATAAGCTATATTAGGATATAGGGCTCTACTAGCCTAAGGGGTCTAAGTATAGGCTAGAATAGCCTAGGTGTGAAGGGCTTAGGCTTACGCCCAAGCCTGGGCCTAACACAGGATAGACAGAGTCTAACACTACTACTAAGCGAACACGCTACACACCTATAAAAAGGCGTAGAGGGCTTACCTTTCCTTTAAGATACTAAATACTATTATTAACGCGTATTGTATTCTCCCTTAAGGCTAGTCTATAACACTAGGCTAGATAGATTAAGTAGTTATAGTAGTATAAATACCTATAAGAATTAATATAGATAGTATTAATTTATTTTAGTATCTAATTAATACTTATTATTATAGACTAGCCTTAAGGGAGAATATAATAAGTGTTAATACTAGTATTTAGTATCTTAAAGAAGAGGTAAGCCCTCTACGCCTTTTTATAGGTGTGTAGCGTGTTTACTTAGTAGTAGTATTAGACTCTATCTATCTTATATTAGGCCTAGGCTTAGGTATAAGCCTAAGCCCTTTATAAGCCCCTAATCTTCCCCTAGAGGTATTATAAAATTATCTTCTTAGGGGTTTAGGGCTATATCTTTGTCCCTACCTAATCTATATTAGAGTTTATTACTATATATTTAAGGCTCTATTATTATATCTTTATATTCTTTTCTAATTTATAATAGGCCTATATATTAAGTAGTATATATATATAGTATTGTTGCAGGAGGGATATTAACTAGATTATAGAGCATCTTGATCCAATTAACCCTAATTAATACCCCTGTATGACCCACTATCTAATTAACTGCTAGCTTACTACCAAGTGCCTAATAAAAAGTAGGAGCTCTAGTAAGGAAGGTTTACTAATTATTCACCTTCTAGTAAGGGTAGCTAAAGCTTTATATATATAAGTATAATTATAGTAGATATAATCTAATAATCTATCTCCTAAATTATTCCTAACCTTAGTAATCTAAATTTCTATAGTTATAAGCCTAGTTCGCGCTTTACCTTATTAAAGATTATCCTATCTATTTAAGCGTATTATTTAACTTAGACACTAAGCTAGTAAGCTTTACTCTTTCTTTATACTATTTCTTAAGTAGAAGCTTACTTATTACTCTTCTACTATAAGTAACTAAATCCTAAAGGGGGATATCCTACTTACTAGATTAACTAACTAGCCTACCTAGTATATTTAATTTAGATACTATACCCTAACTAAAGGGATCTAGGTAGAGGTAGACCCTAAGGCTTAGGATACTAAAAACCACTTTAAGAATAGACCTATTAAGCCTAATATACTAATAGATATTATACTATCTAATATAATAAACAAGTAGTATAAACTTAAAATAGCTTAGTACTAAGCCTGCTTATTAGATTAGGTATTAAAGTTATTAGTAATCTAGAACCTTTTTATATAAGTTAATAATATAGTAGATTAAGGGATCCTTACCCTAGCCTATATAGAGCTTGTTAATTAAAGAAGAGTAACCCTCTAAGCACTTATCTAAGTGCTCTATAATAACCTAGCGCTAACTAATTTAAGTGCTATAATACTAGCAAGATTATAGTATAAAGCTTATCTTACTAAGGTAAAGATAAGTAGATAAGACACTAATTACTAGTAGAAGGAGTAGATAATCCTATATACGTAAGCTAAGGTATTCAATATTCCTAATATTAAAGGATAGCTTATAGTATAGGATTATCTTAAAGCTTTATCTACTAGGATCTTACTAGATTAGGGTTAAACTATATTTTAAAGGATTATTAAAAAGTTAGTAATAGGAGAGCTAACTTATAACCTCCTACAGGTTACTAAGATCTATTTATTACTTCTCTAAGAAAACAATATAAGATTAAGCTCTAAAGGTCCTAGAGTCTTTGCAACAATAGGAGCTCCTCCTTCTAATTAACTAAAGAAGGAGTCTTTATACCTATATAGTAGATCTTACCTATAGAAACCTCCTAAATACAAAAACGTTATTAAAGCTTAGACTAATACAGGTAACAAGCTTACTACTACTTAATAATTAGAGATTAAGAAAAAGATTAATAGGAATTAAAAATTCAAAGAGTTAAGAAAAGCTCTAATTAAGTCCTATCCTATTAATTAAGATTATAGTAGTAAGGCAAGCACGATCACCTATCTAGGTAGTATCTAGGCGGCACTAATTAACCCTATGTTAATAGCAGAGAAAACAAACAGGATCTATTTAACTATAGACTTTAAAGCTTACGCTCTATTAAAGAGCACTATCTTTAACAACAGGGGTGCGGTGCACCTAGTTAATAATATAAGCTACCTAGAAGAAAGCTTGTTTAGATTAGTTAAATATAAGACAGTTAAAGCAGGAACTTAAGCTTTTCTAATCTTAGGTAGAGGGACTAGAGTAATCCCTAATACTCTTAATAGACTAAGAGGTCTAAAAATAGAAGATTTAGTGCTTACTAACGTAGTGTTAGTAGAAGGTTTTTATGTAAATATTATATTAGAATGCTTAATTACTTAAAGCAGGAGTTTAGTTCCTTAGGCTAGATACTATCTTATAGTTTAGATTATTAGGAAAGAGCGTTGTATTAGCTAAGTTACTACGCAAGTTTAACTTAACTTTCCTAGAATATAAGCCCTCTACCCCTTATTAAATAATCTAAAGCATAGTGCCTAAATAACCCTAATAATCCTAGATAACTTACCTAAGATATAATAGTAAGGAGCTTTAGCACTAATAATTAGGCTATTTAGGACCTAAGGCGCTTAAAGCTCTAGTTAAGTTAGTAATAAACATTAGGATTAAAGGAACTCCTAGGAGTAAATGCGAGCACTACACTATTACATATGCCTAACAGGTTATATTAAGATAACTAAGGGAAAGATTACTACGTCTATACTACTAGGTATTATAGGATCTATTTAACATACTAATAGGTATAGCTTATAAGCAATAGATCTTAGTATTAAAGTGCAACTACTTAGGAAAGCTTTATACCTATCTACTACAAGCTAAAAACCTTAATAAGATTATACAGGTATTTAAAAATTTTAAGAGCTTAATACTTAACTAATATAAGCTTAGCATAGTTAAGATTATGCAAGACAACGACGTTGCAACGCTCCCTTAGCGTGGCGAATCTTGCTTTTAGATCTAGGTAGCTAATAATAGTATTAAAATTAAGAGCTTACCTATATATACCTATAAACCTAATAGAGGAGTAGAAAGAGTAGGGTAGGAGATTATAATAAAATTAATTAAAATAAGGATTAGTGCTAACCTACTAACAAAGCTCTAGCCTAAAATTGTTAAAGCAGTGACTTGGCTCTATAATATAAGTGTGAAGGGCTTAGGCTTATGCCTAAGCCTAGGTCTAACACAAGACAGACCAAGTCTAACACCACTACTAAGCGAACACACTAGACACCTATAAAAAGGCGTAGAGGGCTTACCTCTCCTTTAAGATACTAAATACTATTATTAACGCTTATTATATTCTCCCTTAAGGCTAGTCTATAATATTTTACTATCTTCTTCTAAATATACTATAATAGTAATAAGAGATAGACGCGCTAGATATTTAGAATAACTAGGTACAACCTAATATAGTAGAAAGGCTAATATAATAGGTCTATAGATTAATAGAATAATAGGCTTAAGACTCTACTATAATAGCTATACTATATTAATAGAATAAGGAAATACGCAATTAGATTCTATCCTAACCCTCCTTTAAGCCTGCTAGGTTTAATAATATGCTACCTCTACCCTCTCCTGCCTTATGTAACGACTCAGGTAGGTAGGGCATCCAAAAGGTATCCTATACGACTCAAAGGCATATAGGAGTGCGCGTCTGTACAGAAAAGGATGAGATTCCTACACCTATAGGTCTTGTACAAAAGGACAAGAAGAACATGCCTATCCTAACTATAGGCGAGCTATTCTCTATATACATTAGTAAGTTAGGCCTTTATTAGGCCTAACTTAGCATAGAATAATAGGTAGGCAATTCTACCTTATTATTACACTACCCCCTCCTATAGAGAAAGGATAGTCCCTATCCTTAGGACCAGGTTTAGATCCCTCTTTAAAGAAGAGCTTTTGCAAAATAAATCCACCTTCACCTCTACCTTTACCTTCACTTCTTCTTCCTAGGGCACGGACCCCTATCCCTAGCCTGCCTATAACTAGCCCTCTACCTACTAACTTTCTCACTCCTATATCCCCAATTTTTTAATTATTTAACCTAATCTATCTAAAATCTAGTAAGTATTTAATCTATATAATTAAATAGTTACTAATCTAAATTAGAACCTTTAGCTATACTAGTACTAGTACTACTAGGAGTCCTCCTAGTTGCTTATCGCGCTCTCTATATAAGAGTAGTTAGGGCTCTAGCTAGGGGCAGGTTTAACAATTTTAATTTTAAGTTAAAGAATTCTAAGAAGTGCTAGTACTATATTTCCTAGAATAAGTATTGTAATCTAGTAAGTGTCTAAGTCTAATAGGGTTCCTTTACTAATCCTAGCAGATTCCTTCTTTTATTAGCCAAGAGTACTCTGCCCTTAGGGGTGCTCTAGAAGAATACTACAGCCTAATTAGAAACCCTGCTAAAGGGGATAAGGATAAGGAAGCTGTGGTTGCCTATTAGAAGGATGTTAAGCAGTTTAAGGCCACTATTTAAGAAACTGCCTAAAACCTTGCTAAGTGCGTTACTATTACTA